ACCTCATGGACCAGCCCACGCCAGAGCTCCCTGTCATTCGTTCAGTCGTCTCCGACTCTTCGTGACCTCATGGACCAGCCCACGCCAGAGCTCCCTGTCATTCGTTCAGTCGTCTCCGACTCTTCGTGACCTCATGGACCAGCCCACGCCAGAGCTCCCTGTCATTCGTTCAGTCGTCTCCGACTCTTCGTGACCTCATGGACCAGCCCACGCCAGAGCTCCCTGTCATTCGTTCAGTCGTCTCCGACTCTTCGTGACCTCATGGACCAGCCCACGCCAGAGCTCCCTGTCATTCGTTCAGTCGTCACCGACTCTTCGTGACCTCATGGACCAGCCCACGCCAGAGCTCCCTGTCATTCGTTCAGTCGTCACCGACTCTTCGTGACCTCATGGACCAGCCCACGCCAGAGCTCCCTGTCATTCGTTCAGTCGTCACCGACTCTTCGTGACCTCATGGACCAGCCCACGCCAGAGCTCCCTGTCATTCGTTCAGTCGTCACCGACTCTTCGTGACCTCATGGACCAGCCCACGCCAGAGCTCCCTGTCATTCGTTCAGTCGTCTCCGACTCTTCGTGACCTCATGGACCAGCCCACGCCAGAGCTCCCTGTCATTCGTTCAGTCGTCTCCGACTCTTCGTGACCTCATGGACCAGCCCACGCCAGAGCTCCCTGTCATTCGTTCAGTCGTCACCGACTCTTCGTGACCTCATGGACCAGCCCACGCCAGAGCTCCCTGTCATTCGTTCAGTCGTCACCGACTCTTCGTGACCTCATGGACCAGCCCACGCCAGAGCTCCCTGTCATTCGTTCAGTCGTCACCGACTCTTCGTGACCTCATGGACCAGCCCACGCCAGAGCTCCCTGTCATTCGTTCAGTCGTCACCGACTCTTCGTGACCTCATGGACCAGCCCACGCCAGAGCTCCCTGTCATTCGTTCAGTCGTCACCGACTCTTCGTGACCTCATGGACCAGCCCACGCCAGAGCTCCCTGTCATTCGTTCAGTCGTCACCGACTCTTCGTGACCTCATGGACCAGCCCACGCCAGAGCTCCCTGTCATTCGTTCAGTCGTCACCGACTCTTCGTGACCTCATGGACCAGCCCACGCCAGAGCTCCCTGTCATTCGTTCAGTCGTCACCGACTCTTCGTGACCTCATGGACCAGCCCACGCCAGAGCTCCCTGTCATTCGTTCAGTCGTCCGACTCTTCGTGACCTCATGGACCAGCCCACGCCAGAGCTCCCTGTCATTCGTTCAGTCGTCTCCGACTCTTCGTGACCTCATGGACCAGCCCACGCCAGAGCTCCCTGTCATTCGTTCAGTCGTCTCCGACTCTTCGTGACCTCATGGACCAGCCCACGCCAGAGCTCCCTGTCATTCGTTCAGTCGTCACCGACTCTTCGTGACCTCATGGACCAGCCCACGCCAGAGCTCCCTGTCATTCGTTCAGTCGTCTCCGACTCTTCGTGACCTCATGGACCAGCCCACGCCAGAGCTCCCTGTCATTCGTTCAGTCGTCACCGACTCTTCGTGACCTCATGGACCAGCCCACGCCAGAGCTCCCTGTCATTCGTTCAGTCGTCTCCGACTCTTCGTGACCTCATGGACCAGCCCACGCCAGAGCTCCCTGTCATTCGTTCAGTCGTCTCCGACTCTTCGTGACCTCATGGACCAGCCCACGCCAGAGCTCCCTGTCATTCGTTCAGTCGTCACCGACTCTTCGTGACCTCATGGACCAGCCCACGCCAGAGCTCCCTGTCATTCGTTCAGTCGTCACCGACTCTTCGTGACCTCATGGACCAGCCCACGCCAGAGCTCCCTGTCATTCGTTCAGTCGTCACCGACTCTTCGTGACCTCATGGACCAGCCCATGCCAGAGCTCCCTGTCATTCGTTCAGTCGTCTCCGACTCTTCGTGACCTCATGGACCAGCCCACGCCAGAGCTCCCTGTCATTCGTTCAGTCGTCACCGACTCTTCGTGACCTCATGGACCAGCCCACGCCAGAGCTCCCTGTCATTCGTTCAGTCGTCTCCGACTCTTCGTGACCTCATGGACCAGCCCACGCCAGAGCTCCCTGTCATTCGTTCAGTCGTCTCCGACTCTTCGTGACCTCATGGACCAGCCCACGCCAGAGCTCCCTGTCATTCGTTCAGTCGTCACCGACTCTTCGTGACCTCATGGACCAGCCCACGCCAGAGCTCCCTGTCATTCGTTCAGTCGTCTCCGACTCTTCGTGACCTCATGGACCAGCCCACGCCAGAGCTCCCTGTCATTCGTTCAGTCGTCTCCGACTCTTCGTGACCTCATGGACCAGCCCACGCCAGAGCTCCCTGTCATTCGTTCAGTCGTCTCCGACTCTTCGTGACCTCATGGACCAGCCCACGCCAGAGCTCCCTGTCATTCGTTCAGTCGTCACCGACTCTTCGTGACCTCATGGACCAGCCCACGCCAGAGCTCCCTGTCATTCGTTCAGTCGTCTCCGACTCTTCGTGACCTCATGGACCAGCCCACGCCAGAGCTCCCTGTCATTCGTTCAGTCGTCTCCGACTCTTCGTGACCTCATGGACCAGCCCACGCCAGAGCTCCCTGTCATTCGTTCAGTCGTCACCGACTCTTCGTGACCTCATGGACCAGCCCACGCCAGAGCTCCCTGTCATTCGTTCAGTCGTCTCCGACTCTTCGTGACCTCATGGACCAGCCCACGCCAGAGCTCCCTGTCATTCGTTCAGTCGTCTCCGACTCTTCGTGACCTCATGGACCAGCCCACGCCAGAGCTCCCTGTCATTCGTTCAGTCGTCTCCGACTCTTCGTGACCTCATGGACCAGCCCACGCCAGAGCTCCCTGTAATTCGTTCAGTCGTCTCCGACTCTTCGTGACCTCATGGACCAGCCCACGCCAGAGCTCCCTGTCATTCGTTCAGTCGTCACCGACTCTTCGTGACCTCATGGACCAGCCCACGCCAGAGCTCCCTGTCATTCGTTCAGTCGTCACCGACTCTTCGTGACCTCATGGACCAGCCCACGCCAGAGCTCCCTGTCGGCCTCACCTCCCCCAGCTCCTTCAAGGTCAGTCCAGTCACTTCAAGGATGCCATCCATCCATCTTGCCCTTGGTATATATTACTATATATTATATATATTGGTATATATTACTATATTGTACCAAAGCACTGTGCTGCAATATTATTAGTAATATTACATGTAACATAAAGTATACAATTTTTATATTATTATATAAAATTATATTGAACTATATGAGTTTACCACAATATATATAATACACCACCAGTATGTTATACTATTAGTATTATATAATATATTGTAGTGTATCATAAGTAGTAGCATTTATAATGTATAGTATATTGTATTACAACATTATTCATCCATATAAATAAAGATGTCATGTTCGTTTGTGGGATTAACATAACTCAAAAACCAATGGATGAGTTCACACCAAATTTGGACAGAAGACACATATCAGGCCAACAAATGAGCGTTACTCATAAAAACACTGAAAAACACAGCAAAAGAGACTTTAAAGGCCAAAAACCAAAAAAAAAATTACAACAAATGCACAAAACAACTTATATACACAAACACATATACACAAATATATACACACACATATACACATACATACACAAAACATATATACACAGACTGGGCCACAGTAACGTGTGGCAGGGGATGTCTAGTTTTATATATAATACATTTCTATTATTACATTGCAATGTTATTATTTCTATATATTATTATATTTTCTGTATTCAGGGGCTCGAAACAGATGTTGCAGGAGACACAATTTATTTATTTATTTATTTATTTACTCCATTTGTATACCGCATTTATCAGCCTGAGGCGGCGACTCAATGCGGTTTACAATAAAAATAAGCAACACTGACAATATATAGGACACACGTACACAAACGACACACATATAGTTATCAACGCCTCAATTAGAGTCAGATTCCGTTCTCACAGTCCTTTTTTCGTTCCTTGTTCAAATGCCGTCTTACTGAGTCTGTTGTCATTGCATAGTTATCCAAATGCCTGTTCATAGAGCCACGTCTTAACCCTCCTCCGAAACACCAGCAACGAAGGGGCCTGCCTGATGTCCACTGGTAGGGCATTCCATAGCCGAGGGGCCACCACCGAGAAGGCCCTGTCTCTCGTCCCCGCCAACCGCGCTTGTGACGCTGGCGGGACCGAGAGCAGGGCCTCCCCGGGCGATCTTAACGTCCTCGCCGGTTCATAGGTGGAGATGCGTTCGGAGAGTAGTATCATAAGTAGTATCATAAGTAGTACTATATATAATGTATAATATATTGTATAATATATTGTATTACAACAGTGGCTCTCAACCTTCATAATGCCGCGACCCCTTAATACAGTGCCAGCGTGGCAGGGAAGGGCGTGGCCAGCCAATGCGGCTTCGCGACCCCCAGAAAATGGCCAAACGACCCTCTGAGGGGTCGCGACCCCCAGGTTGAGAACTGCTGTATTACAACATTATTCATCCATATAAATAAAAATGCAATGTTCGTTTGTGGGATTAACATAACTCAAAAACCGTTGCTTATTACTTAAACATATTATATTATGTTTATATTCATTATCTTATATCATATTATATTTGCATTATATTTCATGTTTTTTATTTTATGTTATTTATTGTTTTTACTTATTATATTATGTATCATTTATATCATTAATTTTTTAAAAAATTATCCTCTCTGTTGCTTATGATACTTCTTGTTTCACATCATTTTTATTTACTTCGTTTACATTTTTTGCAGTGCTTGATCGTTATGCTGTTCCTTTTTTTCTTTTATTTAGTCTATTTATGTTATTTAGGACATTTATTTCTGTATTATTATGTTGTTTGTTTATTTATTTTGATTTCAATGCATCCCATGTACCAAGTTACTATTATTAATGGTTGTTATTTAATGTAATTGCTGATTGTTTTCTGTTCTTCTCCTTGCAACGTGCCCTGAAGGCTAGAGGAAGTGACCGGTGCCGCTTCGGGTTCAAATGGCCTTCCCCCAGAAACAGCAGCAGATGCCAAGCTCCAGCGGTGAGTGAGTGAGTGAGGGAGTGAGTGAGTGGGCACCCCCTGAGTGGGGTTGGCTCAGGATGCACTCTTTGCATGCTCAGAGGCATCGTTCTCTGCATTTTGGGCATTGCTGCCCATTCAAAAGGGTTAAATGCCCAAAGGACGCTGCCTTGGCCAAGGAGGAGATGGGCTTAAGAAGAACCTCCAGCTCCAGGGGCAGTCAGTCTTGGAACAGGGCTTCTTGCAGAAGTTTCCTGGCAACTGCCGCGCAGGCATTTGGGGCAAAAGGTTTGTGTGTGCCTCAGTGTCTCTTCCTGAATCATGGACTTTCTGTCTTTCTTTCTTTCTTTCTTTCTTTCTTTCTCCTTCCTACCCTTTATTTCTTTCTTCCTTTCTCTTTCTTCCCTTCTTCCCTTCCTTCCTTGCTCCCATCTTCTCCTCTTTTTTCCCTTCCTTCCTTCCTTCCTTCCTTCCTTCCTTCCTTCCTTCCTTCCTTTGTTTCTTTTATTTTTCTCTCCCACATTCCCTCCCTCCCTTCTTTCCTTCTCTTTCTTCCTTGCTCTCTCCCTTCCCGCTCTTCCTTCTTCTCTTCCTCCCTCCCCCTTCTTCTTTTGCTCTCTTCCTTTCTCTTTCTCTTCCCCATTCCTCCCTTCCCACCCTTCCTTCCTCTTGACCCCTTCCCCATTTGTTGCCCTTCCTTCCTTCCTTCCTTCCTTCCTTCCTTCCTTCCTTACATCCCTCCCTCTCTTTTTTCCTTTCTCTCTTCCATTATCTGTCTCTCTCTTCCTTCCTGTTTTTGCTCCCTTCCTACCTCCTTTCTTTGCTCTCTTCCTTCCTCTTTCCATTCCATCTTATCTCCCTCTCCCCCTCCCTATCTTACTTCCTCCCTCCCTCTTTCTTTCTTCCTTTCTTTCTCTCTCCTTCCTCCCTTCCTCCCTCCCTCCCTCCCTCCCCTCCCCTCCCCTTCCCTTCTTTCCGACCTTCCCTTCCTTCTTCTCTTCCCCTTATTCTCTTCCTTTTCTGTCTCTCTCCCCCTTCCTTCCTTCCTTCCTTCCTTCCTTCCTTCCTTCCTTCCTTCCTCTTCCTCCCTCCCTCCTCCTTTCTCTTCTCCTTCCTTCCTTCCTTTCCTTCCTTCCTTCCCTCTCCTCCTCTTTCCTTCTTCTTTTTCTCTCTTCTTTCCTTTTTCTTTCTTTCTCTCTCTCTTCCTCTTCTTCTTTCTTCCCTCCACCCTCATCCCCCCTTACCACCCTTACCTTCTCTTGGACCCCTCCCCACTACATTCATCCCTTACATCCCTCTTTCATCCTTCACCTACATTTTTATTCACATTCCTCTATCTTTCCATTCTCTGGGAGGTCTCATGTCTCCCTTCTCAGTTAGAAATAAAACAAAGCATTAAAACGAAATAAAACTTCATATATCTTTCTCACCTCCCCTCCCCAGTATCTTCTTTTGCTCTCAAATCTTTCTCCATTCGTCAAGACTTACACGAAAAGTTCTGTTCTCTCTTGATCCCCCCTCTCTCCACTCATTCTCATCCTTTCCTTCCATCCATCAATTCATTACATTCATCCCAATCTCTTTTCCATTCTTCTAAGTCCCAACAATCACCAAATACTACCTGTCGTCTGCTCCCCTATCCTGTTCATCTTCTTTCATCCTCATAAACTAACGTTCTATTCAACATCATCGTAATAACCAAGATAGTCATCCCATATCAACAAAACCTCCATTCTAACGCAGTCAATCACTAACAACTTTTACCTATGTGCATTATAACATAACAAAACATTCCTCTCTTTCATTCCCTCCCTTTTTCTTTTGTCCTCTTCCTTTCTCTGTCTTGTCCTCCCTCTCCTCCTTCCTCTCTTTCTCCTTCCCTTCTTCTTTTGCTCTCATCCTTTCTCCCTCCTCTTTCCCTCCCTTCTGTTCTCTCATCCCACCCTTCCTCATTCCCCTCTTCCTTCCTTCCCTTCCCTTCCTTCCTTCCTCTTGCTTCTTTTCTCCTTCATCCTCATCCTTCTCCTTCCCCCTTTTCTTTCCTCTCTTTCATTCTCTGTCTCTCCCTCCCTTCTTCTTTTGCCCTCTTCCTTTCTCTGTCTTGTCCTCCCTCCCTTTCCCCCTCCCTCCCTCCCTCGCTTTCTCCTTCCCTTCTTCTTTTCCTCTCATCCTTTCCCTCTCCTCCTTCCCACCTTTCTTTTCTCTCATTCCCCCCTTCCTCATTCCTTCCTTCCTTCCTTCTCCTTGCAGCTCCCTGGGCTCCCTGCTCTGCTCCTGGCTGGAGGGCTTCCCGGAGGACTTTGCCCGCCTGGGGCCCACCTTGCAGGGCCGGCTTCTCTCCTGGCTGCGCTGGGCCCTGGGGAGGGGCTCCGGCCCCGAGAAGACCCTGCTCCTCCTCCTGGCCTCTGAGGGGCCCAACGAGGGGCCTCCGCTTGCAGGGACCCCCCGGGACCCCACGATGACCCCGACGAGGGAGGACGGCGCAGGGGAGGAGGGGGACTCCCGGGAGCCGGACCCCCACTTCATCCTGGGACTGCAGGCCGAGGACGTGGCCGCCCACCTCACCGCCACCGACGCCGTGAGTCCCTCCCTTCCTCTTCGCTTCTGGGGCCAAGAAAGAGGGTGGTCTAGATGGCCCCAAGGCACCCCTGCAGCACCATCACCCAATACAGTCCTCGCTTTCAGATTCTGATGTTTTGATTCTCAAAGGGAAAAGCACCATATTATTATTATTATTATTGGCTATTATTATTGTTGTTTTGATGCTCTTTTCAGAGGGAAAATCAGCATATTATTATTATTGGCTATTATTGTTGTTGTTTTGATGCTCTTTTCAGAGGGAAAATCAGCATATTATTATTATTGGCTATTATTGTTGTTGTTTTGATGCTCTTTTCAGAGGGAAAATCAGCATATTATTATTATTGGCTATTATTATTGTTGTTTTGATGCTCTTTTCAGAGGGAAAATCAGCATATTATTATTATTGGCTATTATTATTGTTGTTTTGATGCTCTTTTCAGAGGGAAAATCAGCATATTATTATTATTTTGGCTATTATTATTGTTGTTTTGATGCTCTTTTCAGAGGGAAAATCAGCATATTATTATTATTATTGGCTATTATTATTGTTGTTTTGATGCTCTTTTCAGAGGGAAAATCAGCATATTATTATTATTATTACTGGCTATTATTGTTGTTTTGATGCTCTTTTCAGAGGGAAAATCAGCATATTATTATTGGCTATTATTATTGTTGTTTTGATGCTCTTTTCAGACGGAAAATCAGCATATTATTATTATTATTATTATTATTGGCTATTATTATTGTTGTTTTGATGCTCTTTTCAGAGGGAAAATCAGCATATTATTATTATTGGCTATTATTATTGTTGTTTTGATGCTCTTTTCAGAGGGAAAATCAGCATATTATTATTTTGGCTATTATTATTGTTGTTTTGATGCTCTTTTCAGAGGGAAAATCAGCATATTATTATTATTGGCTATTATTATTGTTGTTTTGATGCTCTTTTCAGAGGGAAAATCAGCATATTATTATTATTATTGGCTATTATTATTGTTGTTTTGATGCTCTTTTCAGAGGGAAAATCAGCATATTATTATTATTGGCTATTATTATTGTTGTTTTGATGCTCTTTTCAGAGGGAAAATCAGCATATTATTATTATTGGCTATTATTATTGTTGTTTTGATGCTCTTTTCAGAGGGAAAATCAGCATATTATTATTATTGGCTATTATTATTGTTGTTTTGATGCTCTTTTCAGAGGGAAAATCAGCATATTATTATTATTGGCTATTATTATTGTTGTTTTGATGCTCTTTTCAGAGGGAAAATCAGCATATTATTATTATTATTTTGGCTATTATTATTGTTGTTTTGATGCTCTTTTCAGAGGGAAAATCAGCATATTATTATTATTGGCTATTATTATTGTTGTTTTGATGCTCTTTTCAGAGGGAAAATCAGCATATTATTATTATTGGCTATTATTATTGTTGTTTTGATGCTCTTTTCAGAGGGAAAATCAGCATATTATTATTATTGGCTATTATTATTGTTGTTTTGATGCTCTTTTCAGAGGGAAAATCAGCATATTATTATTATTGGCTATTATTATTGTTGTTTTGATGCTCTTTTCAGAGGGAAAATCAGCATATTATTATTATTGGCTATTATTATTGTTGTTTTGATGCTCTTTTCAGAGGGAAAATCAGCATATTATTATTATTGGCTATTATTGTTGTTTTGATGCTCTTTTCAGACGGAAAATCAGCATATTATTATTATTGGCTATTATTATTGTTGTTTTGATGCTCTTTTCAGAGGGAAAATCAGCATATTATTATTATTGGCTATTATTATTGTTGTTTTGATGCTCTTTTCAGAGGGAAAATCAGCATATTATTATTATTGGCTATTATTATTGTTGTTTTGATGCTCTTTTCAGAGGGAAAATCAGCATATTATTATTATTGGCTATTATTATTGTTGTTTTGATGCTCTTTTCAGAGGGAAAATCAGCATATTATTATTATTGGCTATTATTATTGTTGTTTTGATGCTCTTTTCAGAGGGAAAATCAGCATATTATTATTATTGGCTATTATTATTGTTGTTTTGATGCTCTTTTCAGAGGGAAAATCAGCATATTATTATTTTGGCTATTATTGTTGTTGTTTTGATGCTCTTTTCAGAGGGAAAATCAGCATATTATTATTTTGGCTATTATTATTGTTGTTTTGATGCTCTTTTCAGACGGAAAATCAGCATATTATTATTATTATTATTATTGGCTATTATTATTGTTGTTTTGATGCTCTTTTCAGAGGGAAAATCAGCATATTATTATTATTGGCTATTATTATTGTTGTTTTGATGCTCTTTTCAGAGGGAAAATCAGCATATTATTATTATTGGCTATTATTATTGTTGTTTTGATGCTCTTTTCAGAGGGAAAATCAGCATATTATTATTATTGGCTATTATTATTGTTGTTTTGATGCTCTTTTCAGAGGGAAAATCAGCATATTATTATTATTGGCTATTATTATTGTTGTTTTGATGCTCTTTTCAGAGGGAAAATCAGCATATTATTATTTTGGCTATTATTGTTGTTGTTTTGATGCTCTTTTCAGAGGGAAAATCAGCATATTATTATTTTGGCTATTATTATTGTTGTTTTGATGCTCTTTTCAGACGGAAAATCAGCATATTATTATTATTATTATTATTGGCTATTATTATTGTTGTTTTGATGCTCTTTTCAGAGGGAAAATCAGCATATTATTATTATTGGCTATTATTATTGTTGTTTTGATGCTCTTTTCAGAGGGAAAATCAGCATATTATTATTTTGGCTATTATTGTTGTTGTTTTGATGCTCTTTTCAGAGGGAAAATCAGCATATTATTATTTTGGCTATTATTATTGTTGTTTTGATGCTCTTTTCAGACGGAAAATCAGCATATTATTATTATTATTATTATTGGCTATTATTATTGTTGTTTTGATGCTCTTTTCAGAGGGAAAATCAGCATATTATTATTATTGGCTATTATTATTGTTGTTTTGATGCTCTTTTCAGAGGGAAAATCAGCATATTATTATTATTGGCTATTATTATTGTTGTTTTGATGCTCTTTTCAGAGGGAAAATCAGCATATTATTATTATTGGCTATTATTATTGTTGTTTTGATGCTCTTTTCAGAGGGAAAATCAGCATATTATTATTATTGGCTATTATTATTGTTGTTTTGATGCTCTTTTCAGAGGGAAAATCAGCATATTATTATTATTGGCTATTATTATTGTTGTTTTGATGCTCTTTTCAGAGGGAAAATCAGCATATTATTATTATTGGCTATTATTGTTGTTTTGATGCTCTTTTCAGACGGAAAATCAGCATATTATTATTATTGGCTATTATTATTGTTGTTTTGATGCTCTTTTCAGACGGAAAATCAGCATATTATTATTATTGGCTATTATTATTGTTGTTTTGATGCTCTTTTCAGAGGGAAAATCAGCATATTATTATTATTGGCTATTATTGTTGTTGTTTTGATGCTCTTTTCAGAGGGAAAATCAGCATATTATTATTATTGGCTATTATTATTGTTGTTTTGATGCTCTTTTCAGAGGGAAAATCAGCATATTATTATTTTGGCTATTATTATTGTTGTTTTGATGCTCTTTTCAGACGGAAAATCAGCATATTATTATTATTATTATTATTATTATTGGCTATTATTATTGTTGTTTTGATGCTCTTTTCAGAGGGAAAATCAGCATATTATTATTATTGGCTATTATTATTGTTGTTTTGATGCTCTTTTCAGAGGGAAAATCAGCATATTATTATTTTGGCTATTATTATTGTTGTTTTGATGCTCTTTTCAGACGGAAAATCAGCATATTATTATTATTGGCTATTATTATTGTTGTTTTGATGCTCTTTTCAGAGGGAAAATCAGCATATTATTATTATTGGCTATTATTATTGTTGTTTTGATGCTCTTTTCAGAGGGAAAATCAGCATATTATTATTATTGGCTATTATTATTGTTGTTTTGATGCTCTTTTCAGAGGGAAAATCAGCATATTATTATTATTGGCTATTATTATTGTTGTTTTGATGCTCTTTTCAGAGGGAAAATCAGCATATTATTATTATTGGCTATTATTATTGTTGTTTTGATGCTCTTTTCAGAGGGAAAATCAGCATATTATTATTATTGGCTATTATTATTGTTGTTTTGATGCTCTTTTCAGAGGGAAAATCAGCATATTATTATTTTGGCTATTATTATTGTTGTTTTGATGCTCTTTTCAGAGGGAAAATCAGCATATTATTATTATTGGCTATTATTATTGTTGTTTTGATGCTCTTTTCAGAGGGAAAATCAGCATATTATTATTATTGGCTATTATTATTGTTGTTTTGATGCTCTTTTCAGAGGGAAAATCAGCATATTATTATTTTGGCTATTATTATTGTTGTTTTGATGCTCTTTTCAGAGGGAAAATCAGCATATTATTATTATTGGCTATTATTATTGTTGTTTTGATGCTCTTTTCAGAGGGAAAATCAGCATATTATTATTATTGGCTATTATTATTGTTGTTTTGATGCTCTTTTCAGAGGGAAAATCAGCATATTATTATTATTGGCTATTATTATTGTTGTTTTGATGCTCTTTTCAGAGGGAAAATCAGCATATTATTATTATTGGCTATTATTATTGTTGTTTTGATGCTCTTTTCAGAGGGAAAATCAGCATATTATTATTATTGGCTATTATTATTGTTGTTTTGATGCTCTTTTCAGAGGGAAAATCAGCATATTATTATTATTGGCTATTATTATTGTTGTTTTGATGCTCTTTTCAGAGGGAAAATCAGCATATTATTATTATTGGCTATTATTATTGTTGTTTTGATGCTCTTTTCAGAGGGAAAATCAGCATATTATTATTATTGGCTATTATTATTGTTGTTTTGATGCTCTTTTCAGAGGGAAAATCAGCATATTATTATTATTGGCTATTATTATTG